CTGTGGTTCAGCGCCATGACAACACTCACCTATAAATGAAAGAAAAATATAATTAACATACAAGACACAGTTTAGATTCTGTATTCGTGCAAAAACATCCGACAATGTTGACAAAAATACTTAGTAACATTACACACAGAAATCACAATAGCGTGATGCATCAAATGAACAAATCCACAAGGGCTAAGGCAGTGTCTGGGATGCTCTCGGACGTAGGTTCGAATCCTCGTCACGGCCTTGTGGATTTGTTTACTAAGAAACATTAATGGTGTTGTTGATCGTATGAGGCAAGATTTCTATTCTATTTTCTTAGTATCAACATTAAGATGATCAATCAAGCTACCAAAGTTTATGGTAAAGAAACTAGTAAATACAGAAGGATTTATTTTCCTCAACGTTTCGTTCAACTCGAACATCTCCGGGTAAAGAACGAATTCATAAGTACAATTTGGGGTTAATTACACTTGAGGAAGGGAGGAAGTTGTCTGGAATGAGGTGAAGGGTGGAAGGAATATAGGGCCAATCAAACATAGGGTAAGGAGTAGGGGAATAAGGGGAAAGGGCCAATCAAACATTGGATAAGACTTTGCGTAAAACTCAGGGGCCAGATTCACGAAGCAGTTACGCAAGCACTTACGAACGTGTACATCTTTCCTCAATTTTTGACGGCTTTGCTAACATTTATTAAATATTTCACAAGCATGAAAACTTGCCAATCAACTGTTGTTGTTGTTATAAACAGCCTCCTGGTGCTTCGGAGGTCATTAACTGTTTAATAATTGTAAACAAAGCCGCCAAAGATTGAGAAAAGATGTACAGGTTCGTAAGTGCTTGCGTAACTGCTTCGTGAATCTGGCCCCTGGTACTCTCGGTGGGCGGAAGGGAGACCTCGGTAGAGACGTCGTTATCCTGTGATGTTTGGCGAGGTCTGGGTCTGAGTGTCATGGACAATATTAGAGTTGAAGTAGAAAAAAGAAGTTTTTTTTTTCTACCACAGACGTGGCCACACATTTACAATGCTAACCAGCATATATACATTTTCTTCTGTCCTCCATGGACAGGGTTAGAGATGTGTTAAACATATAGTTCAAGGGTTTATTGAACACTCAACCACAGAAGGTGATTCTGTGCTTTTAAAATGCTAAGCTAACCTACATACGTAAATACATAGATACACAGATTTACGTATGCCCTACATAAAGTGTTCGATGTGTCTTTTACATAGTGTCATTAATGTACATTCACAAAGGTGAAATGTAATTCTGATCAGCTTCCATATATACTTTATACCCATACATATACATACACACACACATATACATACATATATACACACACACACATGCATTCACATACATTTGTCTCATTTACTCTGACAGGGTGAGGTAGCTGATAAAGAAACTAGCGTGCAATTAAGCACTTAATCACTGAAGGTGATGAAGGTGCTTTTACAAGCTCAGGTTATACAGTTACATCATATATATACATTGTATGATTGATATATTACATGGTCAATCTTGGATACAAGTCTAATATATATATATATATATATATATATATATATATATATATATATACAAGTCTATATAAAAAAGGAGTGTAAGTAACTGTGCCCAACCACTTGAACCATTAGAGATCGAACGCAGACCTGCAAGAAGCGAGGCCGTCGCATTTCCGACCAGTCTAAGTGGATGGTCTTCAGTGACTAATGTTAAAGATGTACAAAGACAGGTGTTGCTTGCATACCTGGTGATATTGGCTTTATTTGGTGATTAAGTTAGCAGACTCACCTGGTTTTAAATAGATTTATATATCATCAAATAATTAGCTTTTAGACGGAGGGGAGCTGGTGGGACATTTGTTGGTCTGGTTCATGGACCATTCTGGTTCATGAGAGGTGGACCATTCTGGTTCATGAGAGGTGGACCATTCTGGTTCATGAGAGGTGGACCATTCTGGTTCATGAGAGGTGGACCATTCTGGTTCATGAGATGTGGACCATTGTGATCCAGGAGTGGATAATAATACCACGTTCGGCCTCCCGAACACAGTGGCACTCATATAACTGGTCCACCGAGGGTACAGTGATAGCTTTACTAAGATAACCTTATCTGGATAATGTTATATTTTCCTGCGTTAGGCATATTGACTCCCGAGCTCATCAAAGCACGAATCTAAATTAATCCTACTGCGTGTATACCTTTCCTGCCCGGCAAAACTTAGGGTTAAAGTCAATTCAGTGTATATACAGAGTATATACACTGTGAATATACACTGAGATGAAGTCAAGTTGGCCTTGGGGACGTGGAAGTCAAGACATGTGTATAGCCAGCACGTGTTCTCCACTTGCCACCTCCTAATGTGACTATCTCTCTCCTATCCGTTAGGTACTCTAAAGCCCGCCATATATGATACTATATTTCATATTATGGTGAATGGCCAGGAAGCCAAGAGTTGGACTCAACGTGCACAGGTTTCATAGGGACGTGTGTACTCACCTAGTTGCGCTTGCGGGGGTTGAGCTTTGGCTCTTTGGTCCCGTCTCTCAATCGTCTAACAACTGGTGTACAGGTTCCTGAGCCTACTGGGCTCTATCATATCTACACTTGAAACTGTGTATGGAGTCAGCCTCCACTACATCACTGCCTAATGCATTCCATTTGTCAACCACTCTGACACTAAAAAAGTTCTTTCTAATATCTCTGTGGCTCATTTGGGCGCTCAGTTTTCAACTGTGTTCCCTAGTGCGTGTGCCCCTTGTGTTAAATAACCTGTCTTTATCTACCCTATCAATTCCTCTGATAATCTTGTATGTGGTGATCATGTACCCTCTAACTCTCCAGTCTCCCAGTGACGTGAGGTTTAATTCCCGTAGTCTCTCCTCGTAGCTCATACCTCTCAGCTCGGGTACTAGTCTGGTTGCAAACCATTGAACCTTTTCCAGTTTAGTCTTATGCTTGACTAGATATGGACTCCATGTTGGAGCCGCATATTCCAGGATTGGTCTGACATATGTGGTATGCAAAGTTCTGAATGATTCCTTACACAAGTGTCTAAATGCCGTTCTTATGTTAGCCAACCTGGCATATGCCGCTGATTTTATCCTCTTGATATGGGCTTCAGGAGACAGATCTGGCGTGATATCAACCCCCCCAGGTCTTTCTCTCTGACTCTTGAAGAATTTCATCTCCCAAATGATACCTTGTATCTGGCCTCCTGCTCCCTACACCTATCTTCATTACATTACATTTGCTTGGGTTAAACTCTAACAACCATTTGTTTGACCATTCTTTCAGCTTGTCTAGGTCTTCTTGAAGCCTCAAGCAGTCCTCCTCTGTGTGTGTGCGTGCGTGCGTGTGCTGATTATTAATGTAAAGAGGCCTAATGTTAAATTATTTTGATAAACTTTGCTTGCATATCATTTGGTAATTTGCATAGTTAACAACATTTGACATGTTTACACAGTGGAAGACTCGCCTCTCGTTATTGTGTAAAGTAAATCAACTCCTCCCAGCACCCAGCACTTCCTCACTCCTCCCAGCAGCCAGACCCTCAGAAGTTCTTCCAGAACTTCCTCAGTCCTTCCAGCAGTTACTTCTCTCAGCACTAAGATCTCCACCAGTTATCCCCCACACCCAGCACACCCTCAGTTCTCCCAGCACTTGTTTAATCCTCCCAGCATCCAGAGCTTGAGCAGTGGTGCCAGCACCTCAACCCGGAGCCTGGAGGCAGCGCTGTACACCTCACCTAAGGTCACCTGTCTCCCAGCTAAGCCGTGCTCCAAAACTAAGCCCTTCATCCATTGGACAGTCTTATGCACCGCGCACCTCGCCTTCCCACTCCCCCATGACGTTCCTCAATGTATTTTTTCCTTCCCAGCTGAGCACCCAGGAGCAGCTCGAGGGAAAGTGGGGCGGGATATCCCTCCCCCTTCTACAAAGTCCTCGGGGGCGTCCAACGGCGCTTTTGATCCTGGTGGTCTGGTGTTGGACGTCTGAGGGAAGCTGCCAACCGCACCTATTGTGCCGCTGCTGCTGCCTTGTCGGCGCCTTGTTCTGTTCCAGTGTGTGTGTGTTCTCACCTGGTTGAGCTTTGGCTCTTTGGTCCCGCCTCTCAACTGTCAGTCAACTGTGTTCTACCCCTAACAGTTCTTACTTAATAATACTTGACGGGAATGAGGATTAATCTCTTGGAGGTCTGCCTCTACTCTTGGAGGTCTGCCTCTACTCTTGGAGGTCTGCCTCTACTCTTGGAGGTCTGCCTCTACTCTTGGATTATTCCGATTTTATGATGTTTGTTTTTCATGTTGTCTGTTATTTCCACCTCAACTGATTAATCTTTAAGTTTATAACAATCATGCAACACTGAGTGCGTTGTGACATCATACTGGAGGAGCGTTGTGACATCATACTGGAGGAGCGTTGTGACATACTGGAGGAGCGTTGTGACATCATACTGGAGGAGCGTTGTGACATCATACTGGAGGAGCGTTGTGACTCTTAGGCAATTAAGCCTAAGATGGCACATATTAGGCCTAGAGTAGCTGGAAAACTTTTGGCTTTGTTAACTAATCACAGTTCTACCTTTTGTCGTGTCAAAAGATATTACTAAAGGTATTACAGGAGCACAAAAATGTGACAATTTGGGGTGTACAACAGTCCACTTTTGTATGCTTATTCAAAAGTTACTATAACAGATCCACAATTGTCGTGATGATGGTTCGAACTTACGTCCGGAATGATCAAATTTGTTCATTTGATGCATCACGCTATTGTGATTTCTATGTGTATTTACTATAAGTGATATCACATTTAGAAATTAAGTTGATATATAGAAGTGACTTGTCTTAATATTGCATACTGGCCAACATGGACAAAGTCCAGTGGTGAAGTATGCGGGTTTAGACTCAACAAGACAAAGGTCTGCCACTGTGTTCCCTTCCATAAGATATATTTTGTAATACTTACAGAACTTGTTTACTACTTGTCCTGGATCTACAGACAGGTTGTGAGATACAAAACTCTTACTAAAGGGTTACAAAACTGTAAGGCGTATACATCACTGTGTAGCGCTGCCACCGCCGACGTCACCTGCAACGCTGCCCCTGCCGACGTCACCTGCAACGCTGTCCCTGCCGACGTCACCAACAACGCTGCCCCTGCCGACGTCACCAACAACGCTGCCCCCGTCGACGTCACCAACAACGCTGCCCTTGCCGACGTCACCAACAACGCTACCCTCGCCGACGTCACCAACAACGCTGCCCCCGCCGACGTCACCAACAACGCCGCCACCACCGACGTCACCACCGACGTCACCACCAACGTCACCACCACCCACCGACCACCAAGATCCGGGTGACATCAACGCTTGCACCCACTACAAGCGCCGGCCAATATTTAATACGAGTTAACTAACGCAATACATATATGTGATGAATTACAGCACAATCGTGTTTGCAAAACTTATAGGCTCTAATTACCGAAATGAGCGACATAAAAGTTACGATTTAATCAGATTGTCTGATAAATTTAATAGCAAAACATACTGGTATCTCTCGTGTTTTTCTGACGAGTAATGAGTTTGATCTATCAGTCGGAGTTTTCAGAGTTAATGTTACCATAAAACTCATGTGAAAAAAGTGGCAAATTAGACTTAAAGAGAGAGCTCAGAGTACCTACAGCATCAGATTCATCAGCTACCTTGATGAGTGGCTCTTGTGCTGTATGTATGTGCACGATGTTTGTGTGATGAGCCTGTGTTGTATATGTGTGGATTACAGTGATTGACGAGGCTGTTTGTGTCGAGGAGTCGTAATCTTTCCAGTTTTGGGATTGACTAGTTCTTAGTGTACCTCAGTAGAGATATTAGTGCCTGGAGCATATTGGTGATTGTTGAACAGGGGCATACACTATGGCCTGTCACACAGGGGCATACACTATGGCCTGTCACACAGGGGCATACACTATGACCTGTCACACAGGGGCATACACTATGACCTGTCACACAGGGGCATACACTATGACCTGTCACACAGGGGCATACACTATGACCTGTCACACAGGGGGCATACACTATGACCTGTCACACAGGGGCATACACTATGACCTGTCACACAGGGGCATACACTATGACCTGTCACACAGGGGCATACACTATGGCCTGTCACACAGGGGGCATACACTATGACCTGTCACACAGGGGCATACACTATGACCTGTCACACAGGGGGCATACACTATGGCCTGTCACACAGGGGGCATACACTATGACCTGTCACACAGGGGCATACACTATGGCCTGTCACACAGGGGCATACACTATGGCCTGTCACACAGGGGGCATACACTATGACCTGTCACACAGGGGCATACACTATGACCTGTCACACAGGGGCATACACTATGGCCTGTCACACAGGGGCATACACTATGACCTGTCACACAGGGGCATACACTATGGCCTGTCACACAGGGGCATACACTATGGCCTGTCACACAGGGGGCATACACTATGACCTGTCACACAGGGGCATACACTATGACCTGTCACACAGGGGCATACACTATGGCCTGTCACACAGGGGCATACACTATGGCCTGTCACACAGGGGCATACACTATGGCCTGTCACACAGGGGCATACACTATGACCTGTCACACAGGGGGCATACACTATGACCTGTCACACAGGGGCATACACTATGACCTGTCACACAGGGGCATACACTATGACCTGTCACACAGGGGCATACACTATGACCTGTCACACAGGGGCATACACTATGACCTGTCACACAGGGGCATACACTATGGCCTGTCACACAGGGGCATACACTATGACCTGTCACACAGGGGGCATACACTATGACCTGTCACACAGGGGGCATACACTATGACCTGTCACACAGGGGCATACACTATGACCTGTCACACAGGGGCATACACTATGACCTGTCACACAGGGGCATACACTATGGCCTGTCACACAGGGGGCATACACTATGACCTGTCACACAGGGGGCATACACTATGACCTGTCACACAGGGGCATACACTATGACCTGTCACACAGGGGCATACACTATGGCCTGTCACACAGGGGGCATACACTATGACCTGTCACACAGGGGGCATACACTATGACCTGTCACACAGGGGGCATACTTTACGCTGCCTCGTATGGGCGAATAAATCTTTTGTAGTTTCCATAATTCTCATGTTCCCATCTCCTCAGACAACATTCTGCAGTGTTCTACTTGAGTTCTGAGCGACCGTGGGAGAAGTTCTCCTGTTCTTCAAGTGTTCTCAGCTCGAGCTTCCAGACTTTTATTGCATCTCAAAACATAATAACCGTCGAGAGGAAAATGTTCAACATTTGGTCGACAATTTCTTCTTCAGTTGTCGGGAGTAAATCTGAAATGTCGTTGGCGGGTCGGGGTTCGCGAACGGGGTGAGAAATAAATCTTTTTATACGACCAAGGAATTTTTCTGGAGGTGGCAGACTACTCCAGGTGTGGAGGTGGCAGACTACTCCAGATGTGGAGGTGGCTGACTACTCCAGGTGTGGAGGTGGCAGACTACTCCAGGTGTGGAGGTGGCAGACTACTCCAGGTGTGGTGGTGGCAGACTACTCCAGGTGTGGTGGTGGAAGACTACTCCAGGTGTGGTGGTGGCAGACTACTCCAGGTGTGGTGGTGGAAGACTACTCCAGGTGTGGTGGTGGCAGACTACTCCAGGTGTGGAGGTGGCAGACTACTCCAGGTGTGGAGGTGGCAGACTACTCCAGGTGTGGAGGTGGCAGACTACTCCAGGTGTGGTGGTGGCAGACTACTCCAGGTGTGGTGGTGGAAGACTACTCCAGGTGTGGTGGTGGCAGACTACTCCAGGTGTGGAGGTGGCAGACTACTCCAGGTGTGGAGGTGGCAGACTACTCCAGGTGTGGAGGTGGCAGACTACTCCAGGTGTGGTGGTGGAAGACTACTCCAGGTGTGGTGGTGGCAGACTACTCCAGGTGTGGTGGTGGAAGACTACTCCAGGTGTGGTGGTGGCAGACTACTCCAGGTGTGGAGGTGGCAGACTACTCCAGGTGTGGAGGTGACAGACTACTCCAGGTGTGGTGGTGGCAGACTACTCCAGGTGTGGTGGTGGCAGACTACTCCAGGTGTGGTGGTGGCAGACTACTCCAGGTGTGGTGGTGGCAGACTACTCCAGGTGTGGTGGTGGAAGACTACTCCAGGTGTGGTGGTGGCAGACTACTCCAGGTGTGGTGGTGGAAGACTACTCCAGGTGTGGTGGTGGCAGACTACTCCAGGTGTGGAGGTGGCAGACTACTCCAGGTGTGGAGGTGGCAGACTACTCCAGGTGTGGAGGTGGCAGACTACTCCAGGTGTGGTGGTGGAAGACTACTCCAGGTGTGGTGGTGGCAGACTACTCCAGGTGTGGTGGTGGAAGACTACTCCAGGTGTGGTGGTGGCAGACTACTCCAGGTGTGGAGGTGGCAGACTACTCCAGGTGTGGAGGTGACAGACTACTCCAGGTGTGGTGGTGGCAGACTACTCCAGGTGTGGTGGTGGCAGACTACTCCAGGTGTGGTGGTGGCAGACGACGCCAAATGGAACGGGGGAAGGTGGCAGGCGGCGTCGGAGGTGAGGCAGGCGGCGTCGGAGGTGAGGCAGGCGGCGTCGGAGGTGAGGAAGGCGGCGTCGGAGGTGAGGCAGGCGGCGTCGGAGGTGAGGCAGGCAGCGTCGGAGGTGAGGCAGGCGGCGTCGGAGGTGAGGCAGGCAGCGTCGGAGGTGAGGCAGGCGGCGTCGGAGGTGAGGCAGGCGGCGTCGGATGTGAGGCAGGCAGCGTCGAAGGTGAGGCAGGCGGCGTCGGAGATAAGGCAGGCGGCGTCTGAGGTGAGGCAGGAAGCGTCGGAGATGAGGCAGGCGGCGTCGGAGGTGAGGCAGGTTCACCGCCCCAACGTGACGCCATGGGACCACCCTGACATAGGAGGAGGTGTCTCAGGGGCGTCGTACTACAGCGTGTACAAAGCGTCGCTCGCACCAGTATTCCCACGCGACAATATATTTCATATAGTTCATCCAACATGCAGATTTCATGACCCCAGACCTGGGGCCAAGATTCGCGCAACCGCTCACGAAACCTGTACATCTTTCAACAATTATGGGAGGTATATTTACATTTATTAAATAGTTGATGAGCTCCGAATCACTACGAAGTTGTTTTTAACAATAATAATCTTAAACTGTGACGTTTCCAAGTTCGTAAACTGTTTAATACATGACAACTAACCAGCCATGATGACTGTGTGGGGTTGACCGGTCCGGTGTCGCCTTGACGGGTCCGGTGTCGCCTTGACGGGTCAGGTGTCACCTTGACGGGTCCGGTGTCGCCTTGACGGGTCCGGTGTCGCCTTGACGGGTCAGGTGTCACCTTGACGGGTCCGGTGTCATCTTGACGGGTCCGGTGTCGCCTTGACGGGTCCGGTGTCACCTTGACGGGTCAGGTGTCACCTTGACGGGTCCGGTGTCATCTTGACGGGTCCGGTGTCGCCTTGACGGGTCCGGTGTCACCTTGACGGGTCAGGTGTCACCTTGACGGGTCAGGTGTCACCTTGACGGGTCAGGTGTCACCTTGACGGGTCAGGTGTCACCTTGACGGGTCCGGATAACGGGTCACTGTATGACTGAATCGTTGATTGTGGCGTCAGGTGACTGAAGCTTCGAGGTGCAGGGTGCCAGGCTAACCTGTGGTGCCAGGCTCACCTGTGGTGCCAGGCTCACCTGTGGAGCCAGTCACCACCACCTGTGGTGTCAGTCACCACCACCTGTAAAGGTACACACTGTTCTCTGGTCACCGTACACACTGTACTCTGGTCACCGTACACACTGTACTCTGGTCACCGTACACACTGTACTCTGGTCACCGTACACACTGTTCTCTGGTCACCGTACACACTGTTCTCTGGTCACCGTACACACTGTTCTCTGGTCACC